TTTTTTTTTTTTTTTTTTTGAAAACTCGATCAGCTTTATGCAAGCCATCCAAGACAATTGACCCAACTAACAATCTAGCAGCGCCAACCCCAAGTGTACCAGCCACCACAGCCTGCACCGCCACAAGCATAGCCTACTCATCTGGTATTGGTGTTGTCAAACAGACAGGGTTGGCTCGAGCATGACATGAGCATGGCCCGCTTAAGTAAGGCTCAACACGGCACGACCTGGGTGATTTGTGGATGTAGTTGACAAACAGGTAGTTCGAATTGCATTATAGTCTCACAATTGACAAACATGTAGATACGAATTGCATTATAGTCTTGCAATTGACAAACAAAACAGTCTCATTTGCATTCCAGTGGTGCTATTGCCATTATCTGTGTGCAATTATGAAACGTAGAATATCTTATTAATGACAAATCCTTCATAATTAGTTGTATGTTTATACTTCTACTAAATGCAATTGATGTGTATCCATTTATTTTCATATTAATTAAACCATGAAAGACATGTTGCCTATTTTCAAGAAATGGATGTTGAATCAAGAAAAACCAATGGAAATCAGGGCCAAAGCTCTATACCTAATAGTGAAGGTTATTTTGTGGAGGTTGAGTCACTAGAAGAAACAGAAAATGTTCCATCTTTACAGTATTTGGATGACAGAACAAAAGAAATTATTGTGATTAGTGGACACTGTGAGTATGATGAGTTAAACTTCGAAAATATGAGCATTGCTGATTTAGAGGGGAGAGAGTTTGCAAAATTTGAGGAAGCATAAAGATTTTACTGGAACTATGCTCTTGCAATTGGTTTTAGTATAAGAAGAAGTCGTTTGAGACATAGCGAGGGTGAGGTTGTGATAGGAAGACAATGGGTGTGCTCAAAAGAAAGGAGTAGATCCACAATTCTCTATGAACAAACTTCTTACGTCGTTGTGATCTATTTTATCATAGTTCCCATAAATCATTACAAAGTATCATTTACAAATAAGTCTAAATGAAACAAAAAAAACATTAGATGATACAATAAGTCTGCATAAAATAAGGACATCTAACTTTGTTATTACATCGGGAGAAAAACCAAATAAAAATATAATGTAATCCATAGTACCATGATTTCTGCAAATTAAATACTCGATGATTGTCATCATCCAAACATGTAAACCGACAAGTGAAATTATTAAAATACATACAAACAAGCTACAACCACTACTTATCATACCTCATTATGAAGTTTTTTTGCATGTTTTCTCTCACGGATGACTTGAACGGTGGGAGCCAAAGTTTCATCAAGATTTGCAAATCCTTTGACATTGTCACCTTGCTCGTTGGGAGTTTCGCCTTGTTTGTCTTGCTTACTTTTTAGAGGTTTAGTATTTCCAGGGTCTAGTTGTCCCCAATCACACCTCATATCAAACATGTTATCAAGTTCCTCATTCAGTTTAACTTGAATTCATATTGATGAGGGTGTGGAGTGCGCAATGTTCTATCTTTCTCCTCATTTTTTGATTCTAACTCACAAATAACCTTGGAGAGTGATTCGTCCATATGAGTAATAGTGGCCACCAAAATTGCCACATTCTTTTTTACTGAACTTAACTCTTCGGCAAAGTGAGTCATTGTTTTCGCATAATCTCCGAGACCTCCATATTCAGCTTTGATAACAACTACCTTGTTACTTTCAAAGCCCCCTCTTTTCTTTAGCCACTTCTTCATTTTTTTGGTCTCTACTTTCCCCCACACAGCGAGTGGTAACACAGACGTATCCACAAGTAGGCTACCATGAGATATAGCATCAAGGTAAAACAATTGAAGGAATAACAAGCAACCACCGATGTAAACTTGATTGTTCTCCTTAAATGACTTGACACTATCCAATAAAAATTTGAATGAATACCTTGCCCAGTTTTTCCTTGATATTGCCTTGCTATCTTTTAACGGAAGTAGATATTTTAGATTCACATACACGGAAGTGGTTGGACATAGCAACGTGCATAGAGCAAACATGACAAACCCAACTTTGAAAAAGTCACCTGCTTCTTCTCTCCTCACAATTATCTGCTTCAACTCATTATTCTTTAAAAGCTTTTTCCCAACCAAAAAAGAATTCCGCACCTTTACAATTTGTTGCTCATCCATGGATCCGGTGAAGTCAACTTCCTCTCCTCCATCCTTAACACCCATTATGCGCACGAAGTCATTCACAGATATCTTAAGTGTTTTCCCATGTAGCACGATTGATGATTCAGAAGGATTGAGTTTATCAACCAAAAAACGACACATTGAATAAGATAGTTTTCCGCACTTCATTTCCAACAATGAAACAAATCCCATTTCTTGAATTGCTGCTTTTTTCTCATCACTTAAAATATTTATAGTGTCATTTACATCCTTCGGATTGCATCGTGTGGCTATCTTCAAACAACTCTTGTTCGAGGCATTCATTGAAGGTTTTTTAGGTTCATACTCTGCTTTATGAGTAGCATCCAACTGTTGCCACATATCAACGATTTCCTTCTTGGTCTAAGGAAGAAAATAAAATAAAATTCAATCAATTCATTATAAGTTGTGAGCTGTAACATCTCTATATAAATGTATTCTTGACAATTTATCACCTTAGTATTCACCTTCTCCACTATTTTTTGTTGCTTCATTTCATCGCCCTTTATTTTCCTATTTAAAACATTCACATTTAGTTAGTCCTATAAAAAGTACTTAATATACTAGAAGAGACGTTTAACACTTACATATAATTAAAATAACTGCTCTTACGACCAATCACCGTCTTTGACTGGTCTTTTGTTGTTTTTGGCTCTTTGCCTTTATTATGCTCATCACCGTTCTTTCCTACCATTTTATAATTCCAATTAAGGATGAACCTGCATTAAACAAGAAAAACATTTTATCATATCAAATAAACTCAATCGAAAATAATAACATGTCAACTCATATGCAAATTGTCAAACTATATCAAACAAACTCAATGGGAAAATAATGTTTCAACTCATATGCAATTGCCAAAGGAGATATGAAATTGCAAGACCCTTAGGCATTGCATATTTGTGCTCCAATATACCTCCCTCTACACATACAATGCAATTCTCAGGCATCCAAAACTATTTCAATGCTTATTCTCATGCTATCCACGTTTACGAAAATTTTACAATTTTTAATAATATGTGAACGAAATTAAATTCATATTAAGTTACCACCAATTATTTTTTAAATCTTTCAACTCATTCCATAGTTAGAACATTTAAGAATACAACATATGAAACCAAAAAAAAAAAAAAAAGTCATATCAAATAAACTCAATTGAAAAATAACATGTCTTACATGTCAATTGCCAACCAGGTGATATGAAATTGCATTACCCCTAGACAATTGCATTTTCGTGCTCCAATATGTCACCTTCTACATATCCAATATAATTCTGAGGCATCACGAAACTCTTTTAATGGTTGTTCTCATCCTATTTGCCTTTAATGACAATTTTATAATTTTGAATAAAATTACCCACCCACAGAAATTAAATTTATGTTAGGTTTTCAAAAATTAACTTTAAAAGGTGAGGTTAGGGTTTAGAAAAACATAGGTCATATTACGCAATACTAATTTTACAAAAGGTTAAGGGTTATCAAGAGATAAAATGAGATTCATCAATACTACCCTTACAAAACTTCAAACTTAGTGCTTTAAACCTTGAGAAAATAGTTGACAATCAATGGAGGAATCTTCACCACATAACATGTGAACTCATATGCAATTGCCAAATCATAGAAACAAATTGCATGAATCATATATAATTGAATTTTAGTCAGTCACATTGAATAAACTCAAAAAATAACATGTCAACTCATGTTCCAATTGTCAAACTTGTTTTTATTGAACCATATATGAAATTGCATTCTCTCCAGTCATATCGAACAAACTCAATTGGAAAGTAACATGTCAACACATATGCTAATTGCCAAACAGGGAGCTCTGAATTGCATGACCCTGTGCAATTGTATTTTCGTGCTCTAATAAATTATCTTCTACACATCCAACGAAATTCTCATGCATAATATTACTATGCTTGTTGTATGTATAAAAGATAAAATTGCAATGCTACTGACTTTCATGCAAATTTTACAATTTAGAATAAGGTTACTCACCCAAACAAATTAAATTCAAATTTGGTACAAAACTTGGGTGAGATTAAGGTTTACCCATAAACAGAAATTAACTTAAAAAATGGTGAGGTTAGTTAGGGCTTAGCAAGAGATATGTGAGATTAAAGTTTACCCGTAAACATAATTAACTTAAAAAGAGGTGAGGTTAATTAGGGTTTAGCAAGAGGTAGATGAGATTGCTCAATACTAACCTTTAAAAGCTTCAAACCCAGTGATGCCCAGTGCTTTAACCTTAGGAAACAACTGAAACTCAATTGAGTTGATGGCCACCTTCAAAACTAGCAGACGCACCAAGTTCAGCAGTAGAGTTTTTCTTTTGTGTGAAGTTGAGAACCAGTTTTGGTGAGCATTTCGCTAAAATACTAGAGAAAAAACCCATCACCTTGACCTGTTATAGCAGGTTTTCTTTTATTTTTTTTCATAAAAGACAAAAGCGCATTGCGCACCTGGTGCACTATAGACGTTGTCTACCATCTACCAAAAATTTTCAATTTCTGAAAATTTCATTCACTTCTGGGTTTCATGAAATCTCTTCCCGTTGTGCTTCTGATAAACCTCTAACTTCTTCAATTCCGGAAATGCCCCTACTGAAACCTCATATTCCCAAGCCCTCTTCCTTCGCCTGTGCTCCCTCCGACACCCTGCTCGCAGAAAAAGCAATCACATACCTCAAACGCCATCCCCACAATCTCAATTCTCTCTCTTCCTGTTTTACCCCCGAGGCAGCCTCCTATTTACTCCAAAAGTCCCAATTCGACCAGCCCCTAACCCTCAAGTTCCTCAGTTGGGCTCGAAACCATGGTTTCTTCACCTTCCAATGCAAGTGCCTCGCCCTCCATATCCTCACTCGCTTCAAGCTGTACAAGAGCGCCCAAGCCCTCGCCGAGGACGTTGCCCTCAATTCCATCGACGACAGGGGCAATTTGGTGTTTCAGTGCCTCAGTGACTCCTTGCATATCTGCAATTCGAGCTCGGCGGTTTTTGACTTGGTGGTGAAGTCTTACTCTCACTTGAATTTCATTGATAAGGCTCTGAATATTGTTCAATTAGCCAAAGTTCGTGGATTTATGCCTGGTGTGCTTTCATATAATGCAATTTTAGATGCAATAATTAGGTCAAAAGGGTCTGTTCAATTTGCTGAGGAGGTGTTTAGTGAGATGATTAGGAATGGGGTCTCCCCGAATGTTTATACTTACAACATTTTGATTAGGGGTTTTAGTGGAGCAGGGAATTTGAAAATGGGGCTGTACTTTTTTGGTGAAATGGAAAGAAATGGATGTTTGCCGAATGTGGTTACTTACAATACATTGATTGATGCATATTGCAAATTGAAGAAGATTGATCAGGCATTTGAACTGTTGAGATCGATGGCGTTGAAGGGTTTGGAGCCAAATTTGATTTCGTATAATGTGGTAATCAATGGGTTGTGTCGAGAAGGGAGGATGAACGAGACAAGTCAGGTTCTCGAGGAGATGAAAAGAAAAGGTTTTGTTCCTGATGAGGTGACTTGTAATACACTTATTAGTGGGTATTGCAAGGAAGGTAACGTTCACCAAGCACTTGTTCTGCAAGAGGAGATGCGGAGGAATGGCTTGTCTCCAAATGTTGTCACTTATACAGCATTGATTAATGCTATGTGTAAGGCTAAGAATTTGAATCGAGCAATGGAGTTTTTCGATCAGATGCGTGTTAAGGGACTTCGTCCAAATCAGAGGACGTATACTACGCTGATTGATGGATTCTCCCAACAGGGGTTCTTAAATGAAGCTTATGATGTTCTGAAGGAAATGACTGGGAATGGATTCTCACCTTCGGTTGTGACTTACAATGCACTTATAAATGGATACTGCTTATTGGGGAGGATGGAAGATGCCTTTGGAATCCTACAAGATATGACAGGGAAAGGGTTGTCCCCTGATGTCGTAAGTTATAGTACTATTATTACTGGGTTTTGTCGGCATCAGGAATTGGAGATCGCATTTAGAATGAAGCTGGAGATGGTGGAGAAGGGTGTATCACCTGATGCTGTTACCTATTCATCACTCATTCATGGTGTCTGCCAGCAAAGAAGACTAGTTGAAGCTTCTGATCTATTCAAAGAAATGTTGAGTATGGGTATGCCTCCTGATGAATTTACATACACAACATTGATCAATGCTTATTGTGTGGAAGGTGATTTACATAAGGCTCTTCAGTTGAATGATGAAATGATACAAAAAGGTTTCCTACCTGATGTTGTTACCTACAGTGTGCTTATTAATGGACTTAACAAACAAGCTCGGACGAGGGAAGCAAAGAGGCTTCTGCTCAAGTTGTTCTACGAGGAGTCTGTCCCTGATGGTGTCACATATAATACACTAATAGAGAACTGCACTAATGGTGAATTTAAGAGTGTGGTAGCCCTTGTAAAGGGATTCTGTATGAAGGGTTTGATGAAAGAAGCAGACCAAGTTTTTGAGACAATGGTTGAGAGGAGACACAAGCCTAACGAAGCAGTTTATGATGTTATTATTCATGGTCATTGTAAGGGTGGAAATGTTCAGAAGGCATATAATTTGTACAAGGAAATGTTGCATTCTGGATTCGTTCCGCATACTGTGACGGTTATTGCGCTGGTTAAAGCACTTTTCACAGAGGAGATGAACAATGAATTGAGTCAAGTCATAGGGAACACACTGAGAAGCTGTCAGCTTTCTGATGCTGAACTTGCAAAACTACTTGTTGACATCAACCATAAAGAAGGAAATATGGATGAAGTTTTTAATGTGCTTAGTGACATGGCTAAGGACGGCCTCCTTCCAAATAGTGGTGTAAGAGCTTCTGCAGGGGGATAAATAATGGCAAACATTATCTTATTAAGGGGAGAAAAAATGATGGAAAACGTTCAAGCTGATTGCAATCTTTGCAGCTGGCAAAGTAAATGATGAATAGCATGTCAAAATGCACAATCACCTTGATTGTGATTATTATCAGATAAAATACTTCAGTGCTATAGTGGCTTGCTCAAATGATTCTGAAGCAATTGGAAGTGACACGTTTGGCTCTTATACAGAACAAGAAGATGGACTTCTTCTTCAAGAAATGGGAAAGAAGACAAAACTGTAGGGGCAATATCTGCCATGTTTATGGAGAACAAAATGCGGTAGTGGATGCTCATTCCTGTTTGGGATCTCTCTTATTGTTTCCGTTTTTGTATTTTGGGGTCTCACCCTCCTCTAGTGTTGCAAGCCTTGTGGCTGAGGATGCTTTTGGTTTCCCCTGCCTAGGGACGTCCTAGTAATGGTCTTTCTTGTTGTAATCGAGGATGCTTTCCGATCACAATACCATTCAAGGTACTTAGTTTGTATTCATAATTGGGTTTTAAATTTTCAAGAATAAGCCGAGTGATTTCGTTCATTCAATTCATTGTTGTCACACGTCTAGGGAACAAGCCAAATCGTTAAGTTTATCTTTCTCATTTGTTATATATATATATTTCTTCTTATTTTAGAAGTGGCCATAAAAGGTCCCTTGCTTGAGCTGGGTTCCGGCTTAAAGCTGAAAGGCTTCATTCCTTTTGCCCGACTGAACTAGTTTGATGGAAGCTCGGACTTAGACCAGATCGATGTTGAGCCGCCCGTGTCATATCATGGTGGCACGGCATATCTCTCAGTGCATTTGCTAAACAGTTCATTATGTTTGGTTCATTAGGCGTGATGAAAATCCTATCAATCTCTTTGGCCTGCCATCTTTTGATGTCATTGCTGTTCGGGGCTGTAGTTGGTTCCCGGCTGTTTCTTTAATAAGTGTTTTTGAAGAACTGAAGAAAAAAAATTGAGTCTTGACCTATATTTGCTTGGTCCATATGGTATCTTTTGTGGTTTTTTCAAAAGAAGTTTTATGTGGGAAGTGTAGGGTTTCCTCCTAATAATTTAAAACTAGTTCACAAGAAAACTGATTTCTCTCCATACTGCTGCGCAAGATACCTTGGTACATATGTCAGATATCCATCATTAAAGCTAGAAGTTCTGGTCTACTTGATATATTGATTGTGCTTTCTGTATGTAATTATATTTGTATTAAACTAATGTTCTATTTTCATTTTTATTATCAGAACTCTTTGTATTCTGCTAAGGATGAGAATTCCCAGTTGAAAGCCATTGATTTTGGCTTATCAGATTTTGCCAAACCAGGTTTTCCTTTCTTGAATAATCCAGCTCTTTCTTATTATCAATGTCTGAGTCTTTGGAGTTTGGCGTGAGATTTTAATACTCACGCTGGCTTACAGATGAGAGGCTTAATGATATTGTTGGAAGTGCATACCACGTCACCCTTGAGGTTCTACATAGATCTTATAGTACAGAGGCTGATGTTTGGAGTATAGGTGTAATATCATATATTCTTTTATGTGGTAGTCACCCATTTTGGGCACGGACTGAGTCTGGGACTTTTTGGGCGGTGTTGAAAGCTGATCTCCGTTTTGATGAAGCACTTTGGCCCTCTTTATCTCTTGAAGCAAAGGACATTGTTAAACACTTGTTGAACAAGGACCCTCGGAAATGAATGACAGCAGCGCAGGCTTTAAGTGAGTTTTCCCTATCTCTATTATGTTTTAAGTTTCTGCCATCACTTTCTTGAGTCACTGACCATAATCTTTTGTTGGCAGGTCATCCTTGGATGAGGAATTATAACGATGTAAAAGTGCCTCTTGATATTTTAATATTTAGACTCATGAAGGCTTTATGTGATTGTCATCCCTTTGAAAGGATGCTTTGAGGGTGTGTATATGTTGACAAAAGAAAGAGAACTTTTTCTCGAATTTTGCCCATGCTGAATCAGATTCTTGGTCTTAAGAAATTTATATATTTTCTTGATGAATGGGATTCTTGTTTCTGTGTTCTAAAACATTTTAAAATTTGAAAATAATTGTTAGTATTCCATAATTATAATGATGACTCAATGAACCCATCAAGGCCTGTTAAAAGTAAGGGAAAGAACAGGGTCTGCTAAGGTGTTATCATCTGATACTCGAATTGCTTCATCCAAATTATTCTTCTTTATGTGTGCCTAATTGTGTTTTTAATTTTTTTGTTTTTGTATGTTTTATATTGTTCATGACTTGAAATTTTGGCATATATATAATTAACATTTCATTTATTTTCATTTTGTGGCAGGCCTTATCTAAGACATTGACTGTGGATAACTCTTTTATCTGAAGGAGAAGTTTGCACTATTGGATCTCATTGCATCGGTAATAAATTGGTTGCTAATTGTTTTGCTTCGATGTTCCATGACTTTTTCTATGGTGTTAGGCCTCATAGGTTGTAAAACTACTGACTGGTTATTTCTTCCATGACAGCTAAAATGCACTTCAATACAGAAGAATGGATTTTAAAGAGTTCCGTGCCACTGCATTAAGTGTTCATCAGCTCGAGGCACTTGATTGTTGGGAACAACATGCTCGATGTGCATATGAACTTTTTGAGAAGGATGCAAAACAGAGCAATTGTCATTGAAGAACTTGCTTCAGTAAGTTGAAATTTTAATGCCTCATTCTGAAGTCTTGCTATAAATTAAATAAACAGTTTGATAACATGGGTTGATTTTTTATTATTCAATATGTTATAAATTGGACTTGATTTACATCTCTAGGTCGAACGGTAGAAAGGAATACTATTCCCGCTAACCATCCTAAGAATAACTCCTTGAAAAACCTGTAAGCTAGTGAGGCTCCCCTCTACAGGAGCCGAACAGTATTAAGGAGTTACAAATTTCTCTTTTCCTTGTTACTTTGAAGTCAACTAGTGATCACAATATGCCACAATAACTTGTTTTTCTTTTCACTTGTTTTGACCACGTCCTCGTATGTTTCGAATTGAAGCAATGTAGTTCACTCCTCCATCACAATAATGATTTGCTATATCCTGAGAAAACGAAGAATTTGAACTACTGCAGTTAGTAATGTTAGTAATCCTGATTTAAGTTGAGCTCACTTTAAGCAATTTCAATGCTCAAATTTGGAAAAATGGACTTATTATATCGTATGTAGACTATAATACGGACGGGTGTGGGTGGCAGGAAAGCTGTATGGTATATGCTCTATACTGACCTTTGACGCCACATCAAAACTTTGATAACAAAATCATGATTATGGTGCACAAAAGATCTCATTGCTTCACTTAAAAATTGAAAGATCTAATCGGAACAATTGAAAAAATTAGGATCACACTTGGAGGACCATACTCTCAAACTCGAAGTGTATTCTGGTCTAGGGTTTTTTTATTTTTACGTCAGCACATCCTATGCATCTGCATTTTAGTAGGATCCTTCCTTTCTCAAACCATTTAGAAAACACAATCTTGACATGTTGATTTGCCTTTTCTTTTACTCCCTTCTTATTTTTACCATTCTGGAAACAACTGTACGGTCACATCTGAAACACCTCTTGCACGGATGTGTTTGTTGTCAAGGATACACTTCTTGGCTGCAAACATAAGAAAACACAAAATAAGCAAAACCAAACCAAACCAAACCAAAAATATAAAGAATTATTATTATTTAAATATATATAAAATATTGTGCCCAGCTCATTTCTCTCCTAACCTCTTAGGGTTGCTTACCAGGTGAGTTGATAAGTATGATAGATGCATTTTCATCACAAAAAATGGATTCTCAGATTTGAAGAGCTTTAAGCTTTTGAGTAGGTTAAATCTTCAAGTTCTGTCTTTGCAAAAGTTCTCAATGTCAATGGAGCTTTTGATCTAAGTGTAGTATAATTTCCTCCATGATCAGCACCTGTTTATAGCTCCCATGATTCAAAACCATGACAAGTCACCAAAGAAAAAGAAAGACAAAAAAATATTCTTACTAGGGCAGGCACACACAATGAGTTCTATTTTCCCTGTCATGCTTCATTCCTTGATCTTCAGTTTCACTACTTGGATTGGAATTGCCTTCAGCTTCATCATCAGTACTTGAACTGAAATATACATCTCTAGAGTATTTCTCCTGAAAATGCGAACTCTGAAATGGGAATGTTTCCCTCCATGTATGAAGAATAACAAGCAACCATGCTTTAGGGAGTAAAATTTCGCAAATTCTGGCCAGCCCTTTTGCAACCAAATCTCTCCATCGCATGGAACCTCAAGGAATATTGTGTCCGCCATAAAATCTACATATTCCATCACAACCGTCTTTGGAATTTTCTACAATTAAAAAATTCCTCAAATTAAGATGTTCATGTATAAAATATGTGCATATAGAACCAGAGTACATGTAAAATAAATAAATAAAAAGGATATAAAGATTGGACTACTTGCGGCACGCAGCTGGTTAATTTCCTTTGAGTTTGAGTTACCCTTAGAAAACTAATTAAATTTAGGGTTAAAGAGTATACCATTATCTTTTTCTTTTAGATGAAAAAGGAAAACATGTTAAGGACTAAAATTTATAAAAAAGCTGAAACTAGAAAAGAATATTATCCAAGTCATCATCTTCTACATCTTCATTCAAGTCATCATCTTCTTCATCTTCATCTTTGAGGGCTAATGTTAAAGCTGCCAACATGTTCGTCCCAAGCCAATGCGGTTTGCTGTTTCGTCGTTGTATAATTATTTGCTGTCAATGACCCTTACCATATTAAGGGACGGCCCCAAAGTGACTCTGAAGAATGGGTGGCTTGAGAGGAACTTGTTGGCAGCTTTAACATTAACCCTCAAAGATGAAGATGAAGAAGATGATGACTTGGATGAAGAGTGGGGATTTGTTCTGTTTTTCTCTTGAGGCAGAGGAGATGGCAGAGGACCATAACCATTTGTGTGCTTTGTTTTTGGGCACAGTGGAAAGTACTCCAAACTTTCAACAAACTTATCATCATCATCTACACCAGTTTCTTCAATCTGGGTTTTTGGGCAGGGTGGAAAATACTCCAAACTTTCAACAGACTTGTCATCATCTTCTTCATCAGTTTCTTCAATCCGGGATTTTTAATCTCTATGCCGCTTTCATCAAATATCAAAACGTGGAATTTTGAGTTCCCTTCATACGGGAAAACTAAGCATTTGCCATATTCAAGAGAGTGAAACTCTGAGAACTCTGGCCAACCCTTTTCAAACCACACCTCACCATTACATCTTCTGAGTTTGATTTTCCATTCTGAACCACTCGGGAACTTAAGTTGTATTTGATCTGATAGATGCTCTCCATATTTGTCCAGAAATGTCTTTGGAACCGTCTGCACAAAACAAAAACCTATCATGTAGTTATTTCATAAAGCAATCTAGAGCTTCTCTATTAATTAAAGTCCTCGACTAAGAAAAAAAGAAGTCGTATATGAAGTGCAAATCAGTACATACATATAGTTAAAGAGAGAGAATTGGGTTTGCTTACAAGTTTTTTTGTCTCTAGAAGAAGTCTCGTTTAGGATCATGTTCAGAAACTGGAGAGTTGTAGCAGAAAAGTTTGGACCTTCATGATCAATTTTCTGGCAAGGAGAAGGAGCCATTGTAGGTAGCACTTCAAAATAAAGCTTTGAGATGTATGTTTAAAATGAAGACCTTTAGGCGGGAGCTTCTATAGTGAGGGGAAAGTTATAAGGGGTGTTTTTGAGGGGTATGTAAGAGGGGGAGCGCAGAAGGAGCCATTGTAGGTAGCACTTCAAAATAAAGCTTTGAGATGTATGTTTAAAATGAAGACCTTTAGGCAATCTCCAAGTGAGGGCTCTATCCTCAAATATAGCCCAAAATCCATCTCCAAGAGTGAGCTACACAAAGGGCTACAAAAACAAGGAGGGCTACACAAAGGGCCAATTCCTAAAATGAGGGCCCACATGTGGCCCTTTGGCCAGCCCGGGCTAAATAATTGGATGGGGACCAGTTGACGTCACCTAGACGTTAGGTGACGTTAGCTAGCTTTTTTTAAAATCTAAAAAAATTCTAAATTTTTTTTTGTATAAATACCAATCTCATTCTTACATAATTTCTCACAACATCTTCATCATTTTACATATTATCCTTCCTCAATTTCATCATTTTACATAATTTCTCACAATCTCTTCATTATTTTACAAACTATCCTTCATATCTGGCTATCGGTGACGACTTCAAGTGGAGGTGGCACACTGTCATCGCAACCCCAGTGAATTGGACTGAAGAAAAAAAAGGGCTTGCTCAACTTACTGCCAGCATTCCTAGGCATTTGTACCTCCTCCTCTTTCTTCTTCTCAGTTGGCTTCCCCATTGATATTTCAAGAATATGCAGCCAAAGAAGAAGAGCCCAAAACCAAGGAGAAAGAAAAAAAAATATCCCAGAAAAATCAGAGGAAGAGATGCAGCCAAAGAAGAAGAGCCCAAAACCAAGAGATGATATGAGGAGAGAGATGGAGAAAGAGAAACGGAGGAAGAGAGAGAGGGGGGTTGATTCTGGAGTTAAAACGAAGTGGGGCCCAAAGTTTGTAACGGAACGTCAAAAATACTGACGGAACGGGTAACGTGAGACCATTTTTTAAAGGTTGGGGGGTACTTTGAGATGTTTTAAAACCCGGGTGGTAATCTGAGACAAGTTGCATAGCACAGGGGGCATGTAGCTAAATAAGCCTTTTACATATTATCCTTCCTCAATTTCATAATTTTACATAATTTCTCACAATCTCTTCATTATTTTACAAACTATCCTTCATCGCAGTTTGTGTGTGTTTAGTATATTATCACTCTCAATAAAAAAAAGGTCCTCACAAAAACACCTTGTTAAAATTGGCATTCCCTTCTCTACCCTCTTTTTTGCCAACGTTCTACCGCTGTGTTTGGACTTCCCAAACAGCTGAGTGGGTGGTGTTTTTCTGCATCATGCCTCTGCTAGTCTGAAAAATTTGTGCCATGTTTGGCAATGGATAGTACTAGCCTCAATCTGGTCATAATGCAATATCCCAAAACCATTTGTTGTGGTCAAACTTCAAACAATATCCAAAAACCATTTCTTTCGATCTCCACAATCTGCTATAGTAAATATATCCACAATTGTCCAATGACAATCCCAGTTTTCTACAACCTTACAAGCTTTTCTCTTTCATGTTAAGTGCTATGGGAGCATTTTTGCTCACCACTTTAACCATAGGTGTACTCTCACCACCATCCTCAATGCTTGACACGTGTCCATAGACATAACCATAGTTAACTTTTGCTTTGTATTTATGGAATCATGATTATACCTATGGACACGTGTCAAGCATTGAGGATGGTGGTGAGAGTACACCTATGGTTAAAGTGGTGAGCAAAAATGCTCCCATAGCACTTAACATGAAAGAGAAAAGCCTACCAACAGGAGTTGGTCCGACGTGTCCATAGACATAACCATAGTTAACTTTTGCTTTGTATTTATGGAATCATGATTATACCTATGGACACGTGTCAAGCATTGAGGATGGTGGTGAGAGTACACCTATGGTTAAAGTGGTGAGCAAAAATGCTCCCATAGCACTTAACATGAAAGAGAAAAGCTTGTAAGGTTGTAGAAAACTGGGATTGTCATTGGACAATTGTGGATATATTTACTATAGCAGATTGTGGAGATCGAAAGAAATGGTTTTTGGATATTGTTTGAAGTTTGACCACAACAAATGGTTTTGGGATATTGCATTATGACCAGATTGAGGCTAGTACTATCCATTGCCAAACATGGCACAAATTTTTCAGACTAGCAGAGGCATGATGCAGAAAAACACCACCCACTCAGCTGTTTGGGAAGTCCAAACACAGCGGTAGAACGTTGGCAAAAAAGAGGGTAGAGAAGGGAATGCCAATTTTAACAAGGTGTTTTTGTGAGGACCTTTTTTTTATTGAGAGTGATAATATACTAAACACACACAAACTGCACGGATGCTAGGACTCGAACCCAAGACCATTTCTGGGAGAACAATTGCTCCAAACCACTACACTAGTGGATCCTTTGCCTAACAAAAACAACAAGAAGATGTTTTTATGTGCCTAACAAAGCATTATAGCCGAACAAAACAAAGAACGTGCAAGAAAAGGGCAGAGCCCATACAACAAGAAGGCCTAACAAAGCATCCAACACAAAGATGTAATAATCATGCTTTGCCCTTTTGATTTCCGAAATTAAAACTCAAAAAGTGGAAGTAATTAACAATGAGGTATGCAGGTGTCCTTTCCAGGAAAGAACATGCCAAACAAAATTTTGTGTGGAAAATAAAGAGTAAAGAACAAGAGGCCAAAAAACAAAGATATTTTGGCATGTTTTAAGACTTGATGATAGTAAATGCAGCAAATGCCTTTTTTCTCTTCCAATGCGACTGAAGCATCAAAGCTGAGCATGGAGTGGGGTTGTTTCAACTCAAAAAATGAGTAATTGTATGAGCTTAGAGTGAGCCCAAATTGCTTGAATTCATCATGTTAAAAAAATAAATCATTAAAAACACTAAGAAGTTAAGTAAACGGGAAATTCTATATGAACCCTATTATTAGCTCTTTACATCCCATAATTTTTGTACACCCCACTGAATTTTAATAAAATTTCAAATTACCCCATTTTTTCCCTAAATTACCCTCATGAACCTCATTCCCTAACTTACTATGTAAACCCCATTCCCTAACTAACTGTGTAAACCCCATCCCATATCATACACCACCCATCGAAAACCCCCTTCCCTTTCAGACACACCCCATATGATATCAAGCCCCACCCCATCGAAAATTCCCTACTCTTGCAGACACACCCCCATCAGATTTACAACAAGCTCCACTACACACCCCAGCCCCTTTGAAACAGAGCCATCGCACAACCCATCTCTGCAAACCACCGAACCCCATTGCACAACCCACAGCCAACCCCAAACGCCTCACCCCGTCGCAAACCACCATTGCCTCAACCATCTCAAGCATCCATCACCAATCTATCAAGTTTTCACAAATCCTTTGAAAAGCCAAGGTTTGATTTCAATTTTGATTTCTATATTTACGTTTCTAAGTGTTGATTAAGCCTAGGTTTGATTTCACTTTTGAAAAGCCAAAGTCTGATTTTAATTTTTGATTTCAACGTTATGGGTGTATGGTTCGAACCTGGTTTTACGAAACTGCATTTTAGTTTCAGTGGATTATCACCGAAATGGTTACATTGCTTCAGTGGTAGTCCACCAAATTTGAACTTGATATGTACCTTTACTTTCGGAGGGTTACCACCGAAATCATTACCTTTTTTCGGTGGTAGTCCACTGAATTTGTTTCTATTTTTCAGGAGATTCCAACCGAATGTATTTCGGTTTTTCAGTGGTAGTCTACCGAATATATTTTCTTTTTTCAGTGATAGTCCACCGAATTTGTTTCCATTTTTCAGTGATCATCTATCGAATCCGTTACTGAATGTGTACTTAATATTAATTTTTTATTATATGAAAATGACTTGCAGAGGTACTACTGAGGCTTCATCATCTCGACCTGATAGACAACGTCTCACCGCCTTAGAGAGTGGCTCCTCAAGATCACTTTGAGGATACTACAGAGGTTGTAGTAGATTTTAGAGAGTACAAACATACGGTCTACCATGACATATCAACGTTGTCATGGTTAACTGACTTGTTGTTTTGATTAGTTATTGCATGTTTGTATTAGAACTCATGGAGCTTTTGTTGTTTTGATTAGTTATTGCATGTTTCTCATGGAACTTTTGTTGTTTTGATTAGTTATGAATTTTGTCCCACTAAAAAAATATAAGAAAATAAATAGAATTATTAGATTTATAATCTCAATTCTGTAGTGGGTGCATTTTCCTCAGTCATTAGGATGACCGTATCTGTAGTAGCTACATTCTCCACTCCCGGAAGTTGTTCAAACGCATCCACACGCGCTTGGTATCTCGAGTATAAATGTGTTACATTGCATATGTCACTTTGTTCATGCCACATTCTAGAAACTGGTGGAATATGATGATTTGGAGACAAATGAACCTACAAAACAAGAATTCATTCATATACGCATAGTATATAAAATTAAACCATGTAGCGTAAACAAATAAATGCATACCTGGACATAGTAATCATCGTCAACAAAACCAATAGCAATCTCACGTAGCTTGGTTTCGCTTGATTGAACTGAAAAAGGAAGAAATGTAAGGCATTGACGCATGCTTAGAAGGATTAAAACCACTTTTATAACATGTGGCAATAATATGCCCCATATCGGGCATGGTCATCCAACAAAAGAATGGTGCAAATCCATTACCAAAATAATTTAGCGCTCGCTCAATCTCGTTGTACCGTTTATATTCCCGAATACACTTCTTAAAAACAGAAGACATATCATGTAATTATTGCAACAAATCATTGCGTACCCTACGCCATTCATTATGACAAGATCCCATTGCCATATCTATGATTCTATATCCACAGTTATCATCCGGAAGAACTTCAGTCTGGTGAGTGATATATTTCCTAATACCCTCAGGAAATTTCTCTATATGCATATATATATTGAACGATGATTGGTTTTCACGAGGCTTATAGAGCTGAAAATAAAACAATATATTAGTTATTGGTTTTCGTGAGACAATATTATTCATTTTTCCTTGTTCATGAGTCCATCTAAGTAATGCATCTCTACCATTGAATATCTACACATAAAACTCATGTTATTTAAAAATAAAATTTGAAACATTAATGCCACATTAATGATACTAAAAATGATTTCAGACAAAAAAAAACTCAAAATAATTACCGAATAAGTTGTGAATTGATCACCATAGTCCATTACACATTCTGTTCCCACATGGTTGCCTTCAGTAGGGGCGTCACCTTATTTTTGTTCCTTTAATGGGAGTAAGATCAAAATAGCTTGCATTAAATTTGTGGTGGACAATAAGTTACTGAAAAGAAAAAAAAAAATCGGTTTGTTGCCTTTGAAACGCAGGTAAAATTTCGGTAATAAACCACTGAACAACGTTCCATATTACAGTGGATCTCCACAGAATATTAAGTTCATGATCAGTCAAACACGACCGAAATAAGTGCAATGTTTCGGTGGTATCCCACCGAATTTACCTATTGCGTTCGGTACTGATGTGCTGAACGCAACTAGCGACCATCATGAAATACTAAACTTGCAACACGCCAAAAAATAAACTCATACCTCATTCGAAGCCTCTCTAACTTCAATCTCACCCTTCATGAATAAATACAAGATATTTTTTCACCAATATAAACGTATAATCTCGTTAGAGTTGTAGGAACATGATGGTTTCAGAAAAAAGTCAAACTAGGGTTGTAGGAACATATGTGGGGTGTAGTGAGCAATTTTATTTTTAATTTTTAATTTTTTTTGTCCTTAACGGTAATTATGTACAAGGGTAAAATAGGTTATTCATGTTTAAAATTAGTATGGGGTGCAAAGAGCAAATAATGGGGTGCCAATAAAATCACCCTAAGTAAAATTAGTCTATCTCAAATTATAAACTTCTCAACATCCACACAGACTTAGGCATAGTTTGGGATTGCTGTCACTTTTAAAAAAAGTTGCTTTTGTTGTGCTTTGAAAATAAGTAGCTGTAAAGTAAAGCAGCTCCATGTTTGGTAAACAATATTTTTAAAGTGTTGTTAATACAAAAAGCAGTGTCAAAATCGATTGGTAAATTTTAATATAAAATTGTTGTAACTGTGAATAATGACTAAAATAGACAGGATGTTAAAAGTGTTATGTACGAATCATGTGGTGGTAGTGGTAGTGATGCTTCCACCTATTTGCCATGGCAAAGGGCAAGGGCAAGGCAAGGGATGTTACTATTCAAGTGAATAGTGGCAGCCCTGGCAAAAGGCAAGGTGTATTTCCACCCACTGCCATGACAAAGGGCAAATACTATTCACTTTTAGTTTTTTTTTAAAAAAAAAAACCTAAACAATTAATTTGGAGAAGATTTTTGAATATGATTTTCGGTTCCCATGTGTCAATATTTTATTATAAAATTCATATCTCATAATTCGAATGAATTTTTCGGATAAAATTTTCGGATAAGATTCTCGGTTGCCACGTGTCGATATTTTTTATAAAATACAAATCTCAAATTTCAGATAAGATTTTAGGATAAGATTCTCGGGTGCCACATGTTGATATTTATTATAAAATACAAATATCAGATTTCAGATAAGATTTTCACCCTTTAAAATCGTGCCACATGTCATCTCTATCTTCTAAATCTCTCTATAAAACCAAAGGCTCAACTCATACCTCTCACACCATATCTTCTTTATCCTTTCGTTTCTCATATTTTAGATTTCATAGTCCACTCTCAATGTTAGACATGAGGATATGCTTGGAGAAGCAAGAGCGAGAAATTAAAGAAAGAAGGCGTAGACGAGCTGAAGAAAAAAGGGAGCAGCAAGAAGATGATGAACAAGTTGCCATGGTAGTGGGTATGCTCGATCTGTCAAGGCAAGGCCACCACCGTGGTTCACAAGTCGGTCGTGGCTCGAACGTGGACAGACATAGGCATTCTCGGGGTAAGAATCTTTTGTAAGATTACTTTATCCCAAATTCTGTGTACTCTAATGTTGATTTTCGAGGGTGATATTTACTTTATCCCAAATTCTGTGTACTCTAATGTTGATTTTCGAGGGTGATATTGATAGGACCCGCCCCGAATTCCTCGGAATCCGTGACGAACACTGTAATTTTTCCGACATCCAACCGATGTCGGGCCCATTTACTAATTTCAAATATCCTCTTCCCCTAAAACAAAGGAAAAGATGGTCGAGGCTTCTACCGACATTTCGGCAGAGTCTCCCCTGAAAAACGGACTTTTTCCAAAATTTCAACATGTCGAAACACAGTAATAATAGTCCAACTGGCAGCACGCACAATGTAAAAGCACACAGTTTACCAGATAGGCCTTCGGCCTTAAATCCAACCCCACATGGGCCATAACAGAGCAATTCTAAGGAAGACTTCAGTTTACAACCGAAATGAAGTTCAATGGAAATTAAACAAATAGAAATGCCCTATAGAAGTTCTGGGCGTGAAAGTACAATTCTTGGCTTGGTTGCTTGGCTCAGATCAAGTTACTGCCTGAGGGCGCAAAACAGAAAATAGTAAGAGAATTAAAACAAAGATTCCATATACTTGCCCCACCGTTTGTAAAACGATGTCAAAGCATGCAAATAAAACCATTTATGTACAATCGCAAGAAATTCTAAAGACTCAGGCCGTAATCAATCATCAATCCAAACGAGTTTCAGACCCGTCATAACCACAAACACATTTTAACCACAACCATTCAGTAAAACTGAAATATAATCAAGCATTTAATCTCACCTCAACTAGGCTTCAAGCCCACCGACATATTCAAAGTCAAACTCAACAAAAGTAATAGTTTAATTCGCGGCTGCACCTAGGTGAAACCCCAGGCTACCTACGTACCCCCTGGTGATGGATCAAGCCACACGTAGTTCTTATATCAACAATCACGATTCAAATAACCTACAATTATTTTTAGTAATACCAACAAGTTAATTCTAGAATCATCTTTTCCCTTTTATTAAAATCACAATATCTCCGCCCATGAACACAAACCCATTTTTCTTTACTCATTCCGTTCTTAGGACTCATAACTCAACAACCCTTTCCCTTTAACAATTCACATATGCTAAGCACAATTCTTTTAAACATTAATCTTTTTTCCGATATGGTATAATAATCATTTTCCCTCTCCCCGTTACTTTACTACACATTGGAGAGTCCAACACCATGCGTAGTAAAGTAACAGTAACCAAAGTGTCCGGATCCTTTACCACACGCCGGAAAAATCCAACGCCACGTGTGGTAAAGTAACCAGTATCCAAGTGAGCACACACATCGGAAAATCCAACGCCACATGTGGCCCAACCAAACCATGTTTTACGCGCGTAGACTACTTTACCACACGCCGGAAAATCCAACACCACGCGTGATAAAGTATTATCAACCAAGTGAGCCCACACACCAGAAAATCCAACGCCACGTGTGGCTAAACCAAATCAAACCTACACACGCAGACTGCTTTACCACACGCCGGAAAATCCAACGCTACGTGTGATAAAGTACTAACAACCAAGTAAGCCCACACGCCGGAAAATCTAACGCCACATGTGGTATAATAAACAGGGAAGGTACGTATGATAGTGAGATTCTCAATATTTCAATGTACCTAATTATTTATTCATAGTATATAAAAAAAAAATAGACTCACAAAAGCATAAATTCTATAAAGACCCCAAAATAATTCAAATAATAATCAAAACTTGTTTACACATAATTTCCATAAAATATTATATTCCACAATTAAAACAATAGGCTTTCATAAACAACCCAATATCATCCAATCCATATACTTTAATAATAATAATAACAACAATAATAATCCCTGGAAAAACCATTCCGATAAAATCATAGCCAAAACATATATCAAATCTCATTTATGCATGCAATTCCATATTGGAAAAGTAATGCTCATTTAAAACAATATCCACTCACTTCTTAATAATCACAGTTGAGTCCCAAGACTCGCTTTCACAACAAATGAATCAAGTATCTGTGATAATCATATATTCCACAACTTCAAATATTTCACAAACTTCAATTATCAAAATAATATCCAATAATTCAATAAAATACTATAAAACAATCTCATAATCCCAACATAATCAAAATAACTCAAATAACAATAAAGACTCGTTTACAAGGTTATTCTAGTACTTTTCGAAGGGTGAAACTACCTAAGAAGACTCACGGTCAACCAAGGGGTCAAACTTCCCATATTGGTCAATTGGGCCTGCAGGGCCCAAGACCTCCGATTTCGGATCTGAAAGTTCCTACGAGTTCAACAAAGTCTACTAAGCACACAGAGAATAAAATACTTGGAATTGGAGCAGATCCAACGGTCCGAACATATCGAACCCGGATATCGCCTAATATGCATAAATCCGTTCGACTATCATACGATAACCAAATTCGAATCCGAGCATACTGGCGTGCTCGGGAGGACATGGGGAAAATTTTAGAACACAATGGGCAACCACAACATGGCCCACGAGCCGCCACACGTGCTAGCAGCGCGTGGGTGGCTTGAGAAAATTTCGGCGACGGAAAATTCTCGAAACACCCTACAATACCTATACCAATACGTTTAGACTAACAAGGGGAACACTTTTTGTTATTGGACCATGGCCAAAAACTAGCCGGAACGGAGTCGAAACCGTTGGCCAAAAATGATTTGAGTGAAATTAGTTGCAAAAGTTTGGTATCGATGTACTCTATCTAACCCACCCATTTTTCAGCTAAAAAACCCAAGGAAATTAAACAGGAACGACTGGAAGTTCAAGTGTTTTTCGAACTTTTCGACACCGTTTTCAAAGACTCCTGCCACCATTTTCGTCAAGTGAGGTATGAAACTTCATCTACTCTTCGTGCTCTATCTGTTTATGTATGTATTGTAGATCGATTTTGAGGTTTTACAGATCGTTCAAAATACCATGGCTTAATCATACTTTAGCTAGAATCAATCCGTTAATCTAAATTGAACTTGGGAACTTATTTGCTTGAGTTAGTCATTTTCTTTCTTTCTTGTTTTTAATCTTTGTAGTTTTCACAATCATATTTAAACCTTGTTTTCATTTCTATTTTGTACAGGGAAATCAAATTGAATCAATTTATCATCAATCCTCGTGGGATCGACCTCGCACTTACGTATGCTATACTACCGAACGGCTCGTGCACTTGCGAGTATCATAAGTTGAGGATGCAGCTGAATCCATTTTGGTGCAGTTGAATCGACGCAACATTCATCACATTTTCTTTTTCTCCTCTCCTTTCCCACATTGTTTTCAAGCCCACTACCTGTATTTTCTCCAATCGGTTTCACCAATTGTGCCTTGCACTTCCATCTCCCTCCACCTGCTTTAACCAATTTCCC